AGCACGTGTTACAACCGATGAAGCTACGCTGACACGTCATATAAAGTCCACAGTGCACATTAGAATTCACTCTGGTGTCATAATTTCTGCAGGTTTTGACAAATGGATGACATGTATCCACCATCGCAGTATCAACGAGAGTCGTTTCACTGCCCTTAAGGATCCTCTGTGTTCCTCCTGTTCATCCTTCCCCCAGCCCCTGACAACCACTGATCTCCGTAGTTTTGTCTTTTCCTGAATGGTTGGAAGTAGCCTTTTCACACTGGTTTCTTGACTTAATGAAATGCATTAATATCATGTCTTGAGAGCTTATTTCTTTTTAGCACTGATTTCTTGACATTCCATTGTCTGGATGTGCCACAGTTTACTTTTCTATTCACATCCTGAAGGGCATCTTGGTTGCTTCCAAGTTTGGGCAGTTATGGATTCTGGGTGTATTTTGATGGTAAAGTCAACAGAATTTCCTGACACTTTGGGTATTTTGTGAGTAATGGCCCCAAAGAGGATGCCAAGGCATTTGGCCAATGCAGCTGAGAGAACAGGATTCCCGTGGATCCCCGCACACACAGGAGGACAGGGAGATGATGGGCTAACAGTGGCCACACCAGTAATCGTAACTCTCATTGACAGAGCTTAGCTTTCTGCCAGGCTGGGATAAGTGCGCCGTGCCCCTTATCCCGTGTCACACTCACGCCAGTCCTAGGAATAGATGCTGTTAACACCCTCATTTTACAAACAGGAAACAGAGGCAAGTTGTTTCCTTGCTCCAGGGCACCCGGGTCTGCTCATACCTGGCTTCTGAGACCGTAAATATTTATTATATGATAGTTGGCGTTTTTACGCAAACACATCAGCCTGGTTAATATAAAGCTCCCCAAACCAGGGTAAATCCTCAGAGAAATGAATGTCACTATGTGAGGATTCATGGGAGGAAGCTGGCTGACCATTTCCCATGGTGACAACATCCCACATGCTGGCAGCAGTGTTTTCTAATTCTGGTGAAGTGAAGAGTTCGTGGTTCAGAGCCTGGTACACAGTGGGTGCTCCAGAAGCACAGGCCATCAGCTTGGAGAGGCGAGTAACAAAACTTGGGTAACCTGGGTGCCTAAACGAAAACTTGTACAATCTGAAACTTGACTTGTACATTTCCCCTATTGATTTGACCAAAAGTATTCAATCTCTTCTAGGCTCCCTTTGAGTGGCTACAAAATCACTGCGTCCATCAGTGGTTCTCAAGAGCCATCCCCCAACCAATCTGGGCTCTGGTAGTTTCCACCCAGCTGGGGCAGAATGAAAAAAGTCAGAACACTGCAGTGAATTTTCATAAAACAAGATGTATTTCATTTAAAGCCCGATCCTTTCGTTTGAGATATGTCCTGTTTTTAAAGCCTAAAAATGCCTTTTTTTTCCCTATGAAATAATAATGAAAGTAGTTAGAAGTTTGCTTGCCTAAATGAATTTATGGAGCAAAGTAAAAGCCCCCAGGTCAGTCTCTCCTTTTTGTTGTTGCTACTGCTGGTGAGGAAACTTACCAACCCATGAAATCCAAATTTCTGGGTGTCACTGACCTTACGTAATCGACGTAAACTCAGTTGACTATAAAAGCAATCAGAAATGTGAGCTCAAATGTAGAATGATCAAAAGTTAGGACAGGTCAGCTCTACTGCCAGGGGAAGTATGCGTCGATTACCCGCCCCCATATCACCCTGGGTTAGGCGGCGTCATCCAGAGATGAAAACACAGAGCTAGTCATTCTCCTTCACTGTTCACAAGCCCGCTGCCAGAGCGCTTCTAGTTACATGTTGTCACACCCCGTGTACACACCTTGCAGAATTTGGGGTGTAAGTTTCCCATCCCCCCCCACCTCTTTGTCTTGCTAAAGGAGTCAAGGAGAGGGAAGATGCTTTACCTCCTACACAATTTCTTGCCAAATTTATAGAAAAAAAATGAACATAAGCGATTAAAAGGCAACAAACGTTGCACACTGATGGTGTCTGTCGCAGCGTCCTGTGACGGGCGGGGGTGTGGTGGCGAATGAATTGAGAACACAGCCCTGCTCATTACTGAAAGCCAAGCAAAACCTCCCGATCCGCTGAATTCCAAGCCATGGAGGACATCCTTTGGGATCTCACTGCCTGGCGTCCCACCTCTCTTTTCTTCTGGGGAGATGCTCATTCGGCCAAGTTCAGACGGAATCTTCACTGCAGGGCTCCACACAGGACTTACCTCATCCGGTCAGAACGCACGGTTGGTTCAGAGCTGGGCACACACCAGGCCGGGCCAGAGTCCTCCGTGGGAATTCCTCTCTCCAGCTGGGAAGATGGTCTCAGCGTGCCAGCCTGGGGCGGCCTGGGGGCACTTTCATGGCTTCACGGGAGATGCTGGTCTAGGAAAGGACCGTTTGAGTTTGGCGAAGTCAGGGGCGGGCTGACCGAGGGCCTCAGCGCACGGGTGGGACTCTGTTCCTGAAGCTCCCCCTCCTCTGCCTTGAGCCTCTCCAGGACCTTTCCCAGCCATGCCAGATAGCAACATCCGTTTTAAATTAAGTTTCTGCCCCTTGGCAACAAAAGTCCTAACAGATACACCGATAAACATAGAAATTTGGAGTAAAGTTTAAATCCTTCTTTTTGTCACAAGCAGTCATTCAAGGGGAAGGGGTAACAGCAGGACTGTGGGTGCATGGCTGACCCTGGCAATCGGAGGAGCTGCCCTGGCCCCTGGCTCCCAGGTGTCTGCCATTTAGCCACATCCAACCCCACAGTGAGTTTTCTCAGTCTCTTCTTTTAACTCTTCCCGGGTCTCAAAACTGCAAAAACCTGCATATCTCTGCCATCCACCTATTACCCTTTCCCTTCCCAAGCCTCCATTCTTTTTTCTTGTTTCCCAAACACATTAAAGAGGGAAGAAGTCCCACTGCTGTAAGCTCTGTAGGTCAGGGTCCATCTCCGTGTTATTGAAAACAGTGATGTCTGGTTGGTGCCGTCATTCACTTTCCCTAAACTGCTCTGCTGATGTGAGGCTCCTAAAATTTTGGCACGTGGTTTGAACTGTGTCATACTGAAAAGCCTATGTGTATTTTTTTAAAAAATAATTAATTAACTTATTTTTGGCTGTGTTGGGTCTCTGTTGCTGTGCCCGGGCTTTCTCTAGTTGTGGTGAGCGGGGGCTACTCTTCGTTGCGGTGCGCAGGCTTCTCATTGTCGTGGCTTCTCTTGTTGCGGAGCAAGGGCTCTAGGCGCACAGGCTTCAGTAGTTGTGGCACGTGGGCTCAGTAGTTGTGGCTTGCGGGCTCTAGAGCACAGGCTCAGCAGTTGTGGCACACGGGCTTTGCTGCTCTGCGGCACGTGGGATCTTCCCGGGCCAGGGCTCGAACCCATGTCCCTTGCATTGGCAGGCAGATTCTTAACCGCTGCACCACCAGGGAAGCCCTATGTGTTTGTTTAAATGACGGTTTTCCATCGCTTTATTCTAAAAATGCTTTGAGTCATCACAGAAATTGAGAGGAAGATGTACATCTCTTCATTACAGCATTTGCTGCCTGGTATTACTGTTGCTTTTTATCTGTCTGTCACCACCAGACTGTACATGCCTGTGAGGAGAGACAGCACGTCTTACTGAATTTGTATGCCCAGCCCTTAGCATGGTTCTTTGGCAGTCACGGTGTCCGATGCCTCTCCATGAGGTGCAAGCGATTCTTACAACTCTGTAGAACCTTGCTTCTCAAAGTGTGGTCCGTGGGCCAGCAGCATCGGGATCACTAGGAGAGAGGGCTGCAAATGCAGAATCTGGGCCCCACCCAGGAGCTGCTGATTGGGAGTTGCTACCTGGCGTGCAGAGAGAGCTGGGGTGATCTTGCAGAGTCAGGGGCTGATTGATGGGAGAAGGAGGGGGAGTCAGGGGTGGATGAGCCTGCAGGGCTGGAGTGAGGAATGACAGTGAGCCCCAGGGGAAGACCGGCCAGCCAGAGGATGACGCCCCTGTAGGAAGGAGTTAGTTCTAGGGTCCTGTGCCCTGCAGGCCGTCTTTATTCATACAGGACCCCCTCCCTCGCTGTGGAGAAAGGCAGTAGAGAAAACCTTCACTGCTGACGGGAAAAGACCAGAAGATCACACCTTTTCCTTCTCCCATCTTTAAACTTAAGATCTAGGTGCTCTGTTTTTTGTATCCAGGGGAGACAGGCTCATAAAAGCAGACAGCGGTCAGGTTCTTAATCTTAGAAACTATTGATGCGTTAAAATGAAAACATAAATTAGCACGGCCACTTCGGTCCCTAAATGAATTGGGTTTTGGCACGCTGCTTCTGTGGGAACTCAGTAAATGATTTCCATTTGAAAACACAGCTCAAGGAGCACTTAATAAGTGCAATTTGATGATGACAATGATGATTCACACAGCAGCTCCCTATAAATCCAGTCAAGCCAATGCTTCCGGGGAATAGTAATTAGAAAACCAAGTCCAGGACACACCCACGGAAGGGGGCCTCTTGGGGATCCGAATGCAATGTGGTCAACGGCAATTCTGAAACAGCTGGCTGAGCATTTTCCTGCTTCAAAGATCTGCTTCCCTAACCTGCTCGCCCGGTACCCATCCCCACTGCTGATCCTGAAAAACCACCCTAAGCAATTCTATTGACCATGGAGGTAGCAGTTTAGGGAAAGGCGTGGAGAAGCGGGCCGCTGGAGAACGGGACTCCGCAGGGGGACCTCAGGAACGAAATAGGTCACCGGGCTCCCGGGCAGCGCTGCCCCGCCCCCGCGCGGTGCAAGCCCCGACCGCCAGCCGGGGTGGGATGAGGGGCCGCGGCAGCGAGGGTGACAGTGCACTTCCCCCCTCTGGGTCGTCTCGCTCCCGCAGGGCGCTGGGGTGCTCTCGCCGCCCCGCGCAGCCCCGACCCCTGGGGCGCGCGCCGGCCTCTCGGGGCTCCGGCGGCGGCGGCGGCGGCGGCGGCGCGCGCGGGCGGGCACGGGGCGGGGGCGCGCGCGCGTGCCGCGAGCGGGCGGCCGGGCGGCCGGGCGGGGAGAGCCGGGCGCGCGAGCCGAGCGCGCAGCTCACCTGCCGTCGCCGCTCACCTGGCGAGGAGCGCGCCCCGCCCTCCCGGCCGAGCACCGAGCGCGGCAGCCGCCCCTCGCCCCGCGGGCCCTGCACCGACAGGCCACACGGGTCGCCCGCGCGCCTCGGGAGCAGCGGAGGAGCCCCCCGGCCTGGGCGCGCCAAGGTGACCCCCGCGATGCCTCCGTCCCCGCGGGCAGCCTGTCGCGGCGCCCCGTGAGTCCCCTCGCGTTCGCCGCGCCCCCGCCGCCAGGGCAGCGGCCGTGGTGCATGGGCGTCTGTCTCTGTGTCTGTCCACACCTCCATCGCGCGCGCCCGCCTTTCGTGGCCCTGCCGCGACTGCCCCGTGCGCACGGGGGAGGCCGGACCCTCTTTGTTCTGGCCGGGGTGTGAGTGTGTGCACGCGCGCCGGGCGGCTGGCGGGGGGGGGGGGGGGGGGGGGGGGGGGGGGGGGGGGTGGGAGTTTTGAACATTCCACCGAGGAGGGCGGCCGCGGCTCGTGACCTGTCGCCGTGGCGCGGTCCCCCAGCGGCAGCCCCGGTGCCAGGCTCCTTTTGCAGCACGCGAGACGGATTTTCACGTGTGTCCCCAGCACTTTAGCAAACCGGCCGCCGCGGTCCCGCGTGTGCCCGCCCCGCTCACGCTCGTGTGTGCAAATCCCATCCTGTGTTCCCCCCAGCGCCAAAGGGCAGTTTTTTTGTTGTGGTGGGTTTTAAGCCACGGAGACTTTGGCTTTTGTTTTATTCCCTCTCAGTTTGTAATTCAGGAAGCTTGTGGCATTTGGGGGTAGTATCTGAGTAGGGGCTGGCTTTCTGTTCGTGTGGGTTTTGCGTGATGTTGGATTGTCACCCTGCTGTATCTCAACATTAAACAGCCTGTCTTTTCGTTGAAGAGGACGGGGGTTAAAATGAATGAAGACCTGAAGGTCAATGTAAGCGGGCTGCCTCGGGATTATTTAGATGCCGGAGCTGCGGGGAACGTCTCGGCTGCTGTCTCTTCCCAGGTTCCTGGTGTGGAGCCAGAGCCAGAGCTGGTTGTCAACCCGTGGGACATTGTCTTGTGTACCTCGGGAACCCTCATCTCCTGTGAAAATGCCATCGTGGTCCTTATCATCTTCCATAACCCCAGCCTGCGGGCACCCATGTTCCTGCTCATAGGCAGCCTGGCGCTTGCAGACCTGCTGGCCGGCATCGGACTCATCATCAATTTCGTTTTCGCCTACCTGCTGCAGTCAGAAGCCACCAAGCTGGTCACCATTGGACTGATTGTCGCCTCTTTCTCAGCCTCTGTCTGCAGCTTGCTGGCTATCACTGTTGACCGCTACCTCTCCCTGTATTACGCTCTGACCTACCACTCAGAGAGGACGGTCACGTTTACCTATGTCATGCTTATCATGCTCTGGGGGACGTCTATCTGCCTGGGACTGCTGCCCATCCTGGGCTGGAACTGCCTCCAAGACGAGTCCACCTGCAGCGTGGTCAGACCCCTCACCAAGAACAACGCCGCCATCCTCTCCATCTCCTTCCTCTTTATGTTTGCGCTCATGCTTCAGCTCTACATCCAGATCTGTAAGATCGTGATGAGGCACGCCCACCAGATAGCCCTGCAGCACCACTTCCTGGCCACCTCGCACTACGTGACCACCCGGAAGGGGGTCTCGACCCTGGCCATCATCCTGGGGACCTTTGCTGCTTGCTGGATGCCTTTCACCCTCTATTCCTTGATAGCTGATCACACCTACCCTTCCATCTACACCTATGCCACCCTCCTGCCCGCCACCTACAACTCCATCATCAATCCTGTCATATATGCTTTCAGAAACCAAGAGATCCAGAAAGCGCTCTGTCTCATCTGCTGCGGCTGCATCCCGTCCAGCCTCTCGCAGAGAGCGCCGTCACCCAGCGACGTGTAGCGGCACTCCACTTAGGAGCCTGCATTACCAAGCGCTGCCACTGCCTGGCCGAGCGGTTGAGATGCTCTCCTTAAATTCTTTCTGTTGGATTCTCTCTGAAGCCACAGGAGCACTTTGAAACGTTTATTTAGATAAGTTAAGTGATTGAAGTGAAAATAATGTTACCAGTGTTTTCACCCTCTGAAAACAATTGAGTTCTTTGCTCAATGCAATTTCGTTTTGTTTGGGGTGGTTTGTGTTTTTTTTAAGTATTTTATTTGGAGGCAGGGTTTTTGTTTCATATTGTTTGGAGGATTGGTAGTGCCGGGGGGAAAGGAAGGGGTATGACATGGCCATGAAATTATAAAAAGTAAATTGGTCCCAGAGTTTTTACCTGGACTTTAAAATAAAACTGAGTTATTGAGGAGAACGGAGACATTACTTTTTCCAGACCTTTTTTTTTTTTTTTTTTTTAACATCAAGGTAGATTTTCAGTGCTGCATGTATCTAACAATACAATCACTCTGAAGCCAGTGGAAATAGTTTACATGATTTATGTTTGGAAGGGACATGATTTTATTAACATGAACTCAGTAATAAGTTACCAACACTGAAACCATGAACCCATTCTTTTTCATTCTTTCTTTACTTTCAGCAATTACTGTTCACAAAAATTATTTTGGTACTCCTGTGATGCTTGTAATTCTTTCTGCATGGCTGCCTGTGTCAGCTAGACCACTAGTTTCAAATGTTGCCATGTAAATCCAGAATCAAGTTGAGTCACTTTTCAATATGGTTTTTCCACGTGTCCTTCTAAAATGAAATATGAAATTTGTTGTGATTTACATATGAAGTAGGATTGATTAGGTACACCACGGTAGTTTTTTAAGCTACAGTCTGTGTTCAGGAAACAAAAGAAAAAAATTAATAACATTATTCAAAGTGGATTAAATTGATTTTAGCATATTCCAAAAAATAATTAATGTAAAGCTATATCACAAAATATGAAAAGCATCACTTTTCCCATTTCTCTATATCTAAGAATGTATTAATAGTTATTCTTGGTTGAGACAAATAGTATTACATATTGTAGACCAAGTATTTCTGGTTCATACTGTCTGTGGTGTCAATGCATTTGAAACAAGTGGTCTCCTACTTTACTGATTAAGTTGTGAGTAAATAACATACATATCTGATGGTGATGTATATCAGCTACATTATGTAAGTTTACAAGCAGAATGACCACATGGCTGTTCATGAAAAGTTAAATTTGAGCCCCTTTTCTTTCTTTTCACCAGAAAGCAACTTAAATTCAATAAAAACTATATTGCCTGTTTTCAGAGAGCAAGGAAATGATACAGAAGAATTAATTTTAAACATACCGTATAATGATTGTGTTTGATCGTCATTTCTGTTAGCACAGACAGATGTTTTGGACACAGATACCCTCCCTCCACTTGCAGTGTACTTACAGCTGTGTCTATACAACCAGTGGGAGAATTTCTGGACAGCCCATCAACTTAACCCATTCAGATGTTGGAAGACCAGTATTTCAGGGTCCTTGGGGAATCATCTGTAATCAGGTAACCTCATTGGTCCGCCCCATTGTGCCCGTGGTGGTCTGAGGTCCATTCTGGCAGCCTGCGTGCTGAAGCCCTCTCTCCAGAGCACCTCCCAGGGCAGCGCGAGTGTGAATCGAGCCTACACTTGAATCCGTGCCTCCTCTCTTACGTCACTTACGGTAGAGGAGAAGGGTTGAAACATTTCAGAAGTGGGAAAGGATTTTCAGTCCACAGAACTGGATGACCCATCTCAACCTTTAAAAAATTCTTCAGGGCTTCCCTGGTGGCGCAGTGGTTTAGAGTCCGCCTGCCGATGCAGGGGACACGGGTTCGTGCCCCGGTGCGGGAGGATCCCACATGCCGCGGAGCGGCTGGGCCCGTGAGCCATGGCCGCTGAGCCTGCGCGTCCGGAGCCTGTGCTCCACGGCGGGAGGGACCACAGCGGTGAGAGGCCCGCGTACAGCAAAAAAAAAACAAACAACAAAAACCCCCCAAATTCTTCAACATGTGATGGAGTTGGTAGGTTGAATGTGATGAGTCTTGTTTGTTTTTAATCGCTTGAAAGTTAATAGCATCTCCACGGGAGAAATGACTAAGGTCAGTTGGTTTTGACGAGAGCTGGGAAATATCCATAATGAGGTTTGAAAGCAATACATGTGTTTTTGTAGAAATGGTGGTTGCCATTTGCATATCTCTAATAGTAATTATAATGATCATAGTAAGTACGGTTTTTCACCACGTGTTGTGTGCCGGGCCCCGTGCTGGGCGCTTTACCTGCTCTGTTGCTGTATTCACAAAAACACACATTTATAGTTAAGGAAACTGAGGCTCAGAGAGGCTAAGAAATTTGTCCGAGGCCACAGAGCTTCAAGGGTAAAGGAAGGATATGAATCCAGGGTTTCCGGAGTCTATGCCTGTCTCCTTCCCTGCACGGGACTAACTTTGATGCCTACCTGGATATGAGGGAAATGATATGTAATATGTTAATGTCACTAAGGTTTTAGTCCTACAATTAAGACATAAAGCTTCCTGTTTAAAATTACGTGGGGGACTTCCCTGGCGGTCCAGTGGTTAAGACTATGCGCTTCCAACGCAGGGGGGCGCAGGTTCAATCCCCGATCAGGGAACTAAGATCCAACGTGCCACGTGGTGCAGACAGAAAGTAAAAAAATAAAATAAAGTAAAGTAAAATAAAATAAAAGGACATGCTATTAGACAACAGTGTTTTAAAAAAATACAATAAGATTACGTGGTTTGTGACTATCAATGTGGTCCTACCTACAGGAACGAGGCCTGTTTTTATTATATTCAGTTCTCTTCTTCCCTAAGCATTTCCCCCGTTTGGCGCCAAGGCCATCCCCCAGAGGCACATGGCAATATTTTAATGCAAAGAGGTGAGGGCACCCTTATTGTGCAGAGATTTTCCCTTCATTTACTATTTTAAACTTCCCGTTATATACTTACATCAGTATATAATGGTCTTATAAATATTAGCTAAATGGCTGCTTTTGCCTCCTGTTTTTAAAACATCTGATTTCAGCTGAGATTTTTTCAATCAACTGTAACATGTTCTTACTGTTTACTTTCAATTGTGAAGATTTCTGGATGTTTATGTGATTTCCTCAGAGCTTCTTTGTTTCTGTGGGGTTAATGATTAAGAAATGTGCACGTCTTGATATATATGTGTACGTCTCTGTCTGTGTGCGTGTATACATCTATATATGCATATATACGTTCAAGAATGTGAACTTTGCAACAGGACTAAAAACATCATAGAAAACAATCATATTTCCAACAGTCCTAAGGTTAGCAGGTAATCTTTTACTCCATTTGATTAAAACTTTCAGCTACCAAGATATTTGTATTATTTCCAGTAGAAAGAGTTAATCCTGTAACAATGACAGTTCAGTTACTTTACCAGAATCCTTAGTCAAGGCTAATTATCCAGGTAGTGGCTATCCTGGGTTTTGTTTCCTTTTATCCCTGTAACTCTGTTTCTTTGTCTCAGTCACGTTTGTTTCTTGGCGGTAAAGGGGGCTCTCTTCCCTCTTGGTACCTGGAGGCAGAGGGGGTGATGGGAAGAGCACCTCCTTTCCCAGAAGCCTAAATGGAACAGTCGTGTTCAGTAGGGGAAAATTCCTCCACTGACTTGGCAGGCAGGAACAGTCTTGGAGTCCTGCAGAATTTAAAGCAGGATTTAAACACGTTTAAAAGAGAAAATGAGAAATAAATAAAAGTATTTTGGAGACGTCGTAAACTTTTTGTTTTTAGAGAACTGCTTACTCCATTATTAAAATAATGATTAACTTTATCTCATGATAGTATATACATCATATGAAATTAGGACAACTTACCATTTCAAATTTAAAATACATATTAAGTAAGTGACTGCGATGGTGTTTTATTAAACAACGTTTATGTTTCCACTTTGATTATATGTCTGGTGTAATGAAGGAACAGACTGCTTTCTTGTCCCCTTTAAAAAATGGAATAATTATTGGATGGTTTTGATATCTGGTTGGAATTTTAAAATCTGGTTGGAACTTTTAGAATCATCAAACATAGTTTATATACATCAAGGAAGTAAAAACATGGTTGGAATTAGCAAACAGATCTACTGACCTCTGGCAAACAATGCAGAAAAAATTACTGGTAATTTCGACTAGGGATCCTCAAAATTGAAATATTTAAAAGGCATACAGATCATCTGAGATTCTTATTAAAATGCAGATTCTGGGCTTCCCTGGCGGCGCAGTGGTTGAGAGTCCGCCTGCCGATGCAGCGGACGCGGGTTCGTGCCCCGGTTCGGGAGGATCCCACATGCCGCGGAGCGGCTGGGCCCGTGGGCCATGGCCGCTGAGCCTGCGCGTCCGGAGCCTGTGCTCCGCAACGGGAGAGGCCACAACGGTGAGAGGCCCGCGTACCGCAAAAAAAAAAAAAAAAAAAAAATGCAGATTCTGCTTCAGGAGGTCTGGGGCATTGCTAAAGTTCTAGCAAGTTTCCAGGTGATGCTGACAGTGTGTAGCCAATACTTTGAGTCACAAGGCTAATTGTCATGCCTTTAGCGTTCTTAAAAAAAAGTATATATATATAAACCTCTGATAAGGATAAATAATTTTTTAAATATATAATTATAATATAAATACACACTTAAGTTATATAAATATAATTATATAATATACAATACAAATAAAATACAATACACATTTAAATTATAGTATATTAAATATATATTATATATATATATTTAAAGTGTTCATTCTTGTCAGAAGTTAAAAGGTAACTAGTATGAACTTTGAACTTTTCCTAGAATTTCTCAGGATCTAGTAAAGACTTTTTCCTTGTTAGTATTCTCACTTTTTGAAATTCGGATTACTATTACCTTCGGGTAATTCTTTCAGAACTTAATATAACAATGCAATATATACATGAGTATACATAGCAAGAAAGGTTTTCATCTCCATATTTTCAAGAAGGATAGTTTTCCCTATGACACATGTGGTTTGTATTTGGGGGGCTGTGTGTGCCTGCATGATTTCATCTTGAAATAACTGAGATGAAAACTTTTGTTCTCTGTGTCCTAAAATTCAACTGAACTGATCCTAAAGCAACCCTTTTCTAGCCAGGCAAATCAGAGAAATTTTAAATATCTCACCTCGATTTTTGACATTTATCTGTAATCTTCTGTTATTTTCAGCATTGAAAATGCTATTAATGTTAACAGTTATGATGGTCATTACATCCACTGTACTTCTTTTCGGCCCAAGGACGTA